ATATAAATGATGATCTCACAATGGAGATCTGAAAGCCATATAAATGATGATCTCACAATGGAGATCTGAGAGACATATAAATGATGATCTCACAATGGAGATCTGAGAGACATATAAATGATGATCTCACAATGGAGATCTGAGAGACATATAAATGATGATCTCACAATGGAGATCTGAGAGACATATAAATGATGATCTCACAATGGAGATCTGAGAGCCATATAAATGATGATCTCACAATGGAGATCTGAAAGCCATATAAATGATGATCTCACAATGGAGATCTGAGAGCCATATAAATGATGATCTCACAATGGAGATCTGAGAGCCATATAAATGATGATCTCACAATGGAGATCTGAGAGCCATATAAATGATGATCTCACAATGGAGATCTGAGAGCCATATAAATGATGATCTCACAATGGAGATCTGAGAGCCATATAAATGATGATCTCACAATGGAGATCTGAGAGCCATATAAATGATGATCTCACAATGGAGATCTGAGAGCCATATAAATGATGATCTCACAATGGAGATCTGAGAGCCATATAAATGATGATCTCACAATGGAGATCTGAGAGCCATATAAATGATGATCTCACAATGGAGATCTGAGAGCCATATAAATGATGATCTCACAATGGAGATCTGAGAGCCATATAAATGATGATCTCACAATGGAGATCTGAGAGCCATATAAATGATGATCTCACAATGGAGATCTGAGAGCCATATAAATGATGATCTCACAATGGAGATCTGAGAGCCATATAAATGATGATCTCACAATGGAGATCTGAGAGCCATATAAATGATGATCTCACAATGGAGATCTGAGAGCCATATAAATGATGATCTCACAATGGAGATCTGAGAGCCATATAAATGATGATCTCACAATGGAGATCTGAGAGCCATATAAATGATGATCTCACAATGGAGATCTGAGAGCCATATAAATGATGATCTCACAATGGAGATCTGAGAGCCATATAAATGATGATCTCACAATGGAGATCTGAGAGCCATATAAATGATGATCTCACAATGGAGATCTGAGAGCCATATAAATGATGATCTCACAATGGAGATCTGAGAGCCATATAAATCCCCATTACTATGTAAAGTTAAGTCATGCGCAATAAATTATTATGTCTGCTTACATACCAACAACCCTATTCTCTGTGTTTAGTTTCAAGGGTATGAGAATCACTGTTGTTAGTATGAACGCTGTTTGGGTCCGTTTGAGTTCTGTCACGAGTGTTGTCATTGTGTCATGAGTGTTGTCATTGTGTCACGAGTGTTGTCATTGTGTCACGAGTGTTGTCATTGTGTCACGAGTGTTGTCATTGTGTCGTGAATGTTGTCATTGTGTCATGATGAGTGTTGTCGTTGTGTCGTGAATGTTGTCATTGTGTCGTGAATGTTGTCGTTGTGTCGTGAATGTTGTCATTGTGTCGTGAGTGTTGTCATTGTATCATGAGTGTTGTCATTGTGTCGTGAGTGTTGTCAATGTGTTATGATGTGTGTTGTCAATGTGTCATGATGTATGTTGTCATTGTGTCGTGAGTGTTGTCATTGTGTCGTCAGTGTTGTCATTGAGTCGTCAGTGTTGTCATTGTGTCATGAGTGTTGTCATTGTGTCACGAGTGTTGTCATTGTGTCGTGAGTGTTGTCATTGTGTCGTCAGTGTTGTCATTGAGTCGTCAGTGTTGTCATTGAGTCGTCAGTGTTGTCATTGTGTCGTGAGTGTTGTCATTGTGTCATGGTGAGTGTTGTCATTGTGTCATGATGAATGTTGTCATTGTGTAATGAGTGTTGTCATTGTGTCATGAGTGTTGTGATTGTGTCACGAGTGTTGTCATTGTGTCTTGAGTGTTGTCATTGTGTCACGAGTGTTGTCATTGTGTCATGAGTGTTGTCATTGTGTTACGAGTGTTGTCATTGTGTCACGAGTGTTGTCATTGTGTCATGAGTGTTGTCATTGTGTCACGAGTGTTGTCATTGTGTCACGAGTGTTGTCATTGTGTCATGACTGTTGTCATTGATCATGAGTGTTGTCATTGTGTCACGTGTGTTGTCATTGTGTCACGTGTGTTTTCATTGTGTCGTGAGTGTTGTCATTGGATGACAGGAATAGAATAATAAACACGTCAGTGGATTGTGGATAGAAGGCGTGAGGTAGAGAGAAGAAAATTAAGATTATATAGAAAACGTTCACTAATTACACCCATTGGTTATTCATACCTTTCACATATTAGACCCACTTGATTAAGTTTAAATTCACACCTTTCATAAATTAGACCCGCTGAATTAAGATTATATTCACACCTTTCACAAATTAGACCCGCTGAATTAAGACTATATTCACACCTTTCATAAATTAGACCCGCTGAATTAAGACTGTATTCACACCTTTCATAAATTAGACCCGCTGAATTAAGACTACATTCACACCTTTCATAAATTAGACCCGCTGAATTAAGACTATATTCACACCTTTCATAAATTAGACCCGCTGAATTAAGACTATATTCACACCTTTCATAAATTAGACCCGCTGAATTAAGACTATATTCACACCTTTCATAAATTAGACCCACTGGTTTTAGACTATATTCACACCTTTCACAAATTAGACCCGCTGAATTAAGATTATATTCACACCTTTCACAAATTAGACCCGCTGAATTAAGACTATGTTCACATCTTTAAAAAAATTATAACTTCTGGATTAAAATTATATTAACACTTTCACATATTCAGACCTTTCACAAATTAAACCCACTGGATTCATATTATATCCAGACCTTTCATAAATTAGACCCACTGGATTCATATTATATTCAGACCTTTCATAAATTAGACCCACTGGATTCATATTATATTCAGACCTTTAATAAATTAGACCCACTGGATTCATATTATATTCAGACCTCTCATAAATTAGACCCACTGGATTCATATTATATTCAGACCTCTTTTAAATTAGACCCACTGGATTCATATTATATTCAGACCTTTCATAAATTAGACCCACTGGATTCAAATTATATTCAGACCTTTCATAAATTAGACCCACTGGATTCATATTATATTCAGACCTCTCATAAATTAGACCCACTGGATTCATATTATATTCAGACCTTTCATAAATTAGACCCACTGGATTCATATTATATTCAGACCTCTCATAAATTAGACCCACTGGATTCAAATTATATTCAGACCTTTCATAAATTAGACCAACTGGATTCATATTATATTCAGACCTCTCATAAATTAGACCCACTGGATTCATATTATATTCAGACCTCTCATAAATTAGACCCACTGGATTCATATTATATTCAGACCTCTCATAAATTAGACCCACTGGATTCATATTATATTCAGACCTTTCATAAATTAGACCCACTGGATTCAAATTATATTCAGACCTTTCATAAATTAGACCCACTGGATTCATATTATATTCAGACCTCTCATAAATTAGACCCACTGGATTCATATTATATTCAGACCTTTCATAAATTAGACCCACTGGATTCATATTATATTCAGACCTCTCATAAATTAGACCCACTGGATTCATATTGTATTCAGACCTTTCATAAATTAGACCCACTGGATTCATATTATATTCAGACCTCTCATAAATTAGACCCACTGGATTCATATTATATTCAGACCTTTCATAAATTAGACCCACTGGATTCATATTATATTCAGACCTTTCATAAATTAGACCCACTGGATTCATATTATATTCAGACCTCTCATAAATTAGACCCACTGGATTCATATTATATTCAGACCTTTCATAAATTAGACCCACTGGATTCATATTATATTCAGACCTTTCATAAATTAGACCCACTGGATTCAAATTATATTCAGACCTTTTATAAATTAGACCCACTGGATTCAAATTATATTCAGACCTTTCATAAATTAGACCCACTGGATTCATATTATATTCAGACCTTTCATAAATTAGACCCACTGGATTCATATTATATTCAGACCTCTCATAAATTAGACCCACTAGATTCATATTATATTCAGACCTCTCGTAAATTAGACCCACTGGATTCAAATTATATTCAGACCTCTCATAAATTAGTCCCACTGGATTCATATTATATTCAGACCTTTCATAAATTAGACCCACTGGATTCATATTATATTCAGACCTCTCATAAATTAGACCCACTGGATTCATATTATATTCAGACCTTTCATAAATTAGACCCACTGGATTCATATTATATTCAGACCTCTCATAAATTAGACCCACTGGATTCATATTATATTCAGACCTTTCATAAATTAGACC